AACAAGGGATGCTCAAGATCCCACATAAAACAGAAAAAAAATGAATAATGTCGTGCCGCGACATTAAATAAGGCGCTTCTTGGGAGTAAACCCAAGTTTTATTTTTATTTTTCGTTATTTCGAGTGTTTAAAGTTCATTTTTTTTATTATTTGAGAGATCAGTGAGAGAGGGAACTAACCGCTTGTTTGGAGGGAAAGAAATTACAAGTTTTGAAGTATCTGGGTACATACCCGATCGAGTACCACCTTATACCCGGTCGGGTATTGCTTAAAAAGAGATACTGAGGCACTACTCGATCGAAAGAGTATAATTTTTCATGAATGCATGCATACTCGATCGGGTACAATTACATACCTGGTCGAGTACTCATAGAAAGGTGAAGCCAAAGGGAACCTGCCACCAGCATTCGATCGAGTACGGGGTCAAAGATTGCAAAAGGAAGCATACTCGATCGGGTATCACTACACACTCGGTCGAGTATGTTAAGAAGGACAAAACCAAATGGAACCTGCTCCCAGCACTCGACCGAGTACAGGGCTCAAAATGTGGAAAAAGAAACATACCTGATCGGGTATGACTCTACACCCGGTCGGGTATTGCTGGAAATTCAAAAACCCAAACAAACTGCCTCCAGTACCCGATCGGGTATGGCAAGATACTCGGTCGAGTATGGATGGAAAACCGAAATCCTGAACAAACTGTCCCCCATACCCGATCGGGTATATCACCATACTCGATCGGGTATACGAGCGTGTTAACCCCAACGCAGGCCAAATCACTTCATCCTCCCCAAATTCCAAACCCAAAATTCGAACCCCTCTCCCCCAACCTCCATTTTCGGACCTTCTCAAGACCATATCTCATTCCTCCATCAAATCACCTCATTCCAACACCAAAAGACTCCCCTCACTCTCCTCTACACACCCATACCCACAAAATCCAAGTTCTCCTAAAAAATCCCACAGTCTGAAAACCCTACCCCCATCTTCAAAGATTCCAAATTTCAAGCTCCAATTTCCAAAAATGGCACCAAGGAAGGACAAAGGGCAGAGCTCAAGGGCTATGGAACCCATCCCGGGCTACGAGAACCTCATCTTCGTCGATAACGAACACCGAGCTCGGTTCATCACTACAATTACAAGGCAAGTAAAACCTTCCCGTTTCTTATGCCATAATGCTCTCCGTGAACTAGGCATTTACAGTAGTACAAAGCAATTCTTTCGTGAGTTGGACATGAACCGCAATTTCATAATGAAATACAACTCTAACGAAAGAATCATCTATGAATTCATGAGCTCGGTGAAGTTTGAAAATGATGAGGCTGATTTTAGGGACGACAAACTCACATTTCGTTTGTTTAACCACACCTATTCAATAACGAAACATGAGTTTGCCGAACATTTTGGCATCCCCGTCCCCTACGAAAAAGCCATCTCCGACAACACCATTTTCGGTCATTCACTGTGAACCAAGATGACCGGAGAAGTGAAGTTTAGCTCCTCCCAATTGTATATTAGTCATGTCCAACACCCCGTCCTCTGATTGTTTTTAAAGTTTTTTAGTAAACTGTTTGCTTGGGCGCCCCAACAATCACCACACGGGGATGGGGGATGTGTGCATGATGTCAGTGGCCCTATTCCGTCGTCATGTGGACTTTAACTTGTGCAATCTCATGTGAGCACATTTAAAAAAGGAAAGCAAAGCGAAGGGGGCAATTGTCTTGGGTGGGGTGGTTATGCACTTGGCAAGTAGGTTCGGGTATACGGATAACTCCCCTATACCCGATTATTGTTTGATGGACATGGCTTGGTTAGGCCATTCGGGATGCACAGCTTTCTCCCACACGGTCTGTGATGGTGACCAACCGAAGAACATGTATAACTGGCTCATACACCCCAAGCCTATCAAACATTTCCTCATGCCTAGCCCATACCTTCCCAAACTACTCTACAAATTAGAGGTAGAGGTGCCCCATTACCTATTCCCACACGCCCTTCAACCACATCTCCAAGACCCGGAACAAGAGCCTCTCCAATACCAACCCGAGTACGAGCCTTATGCCGGACCCCATGGCCATGAAGACATGGACGCAGACATCCCCAAGCAAACTCAAAACCCTCCACCACCCGACTTCTTCCAACAACTTTTGGAGGGTCAACCACAACTGCTTGCGGGGTACAACCAAATGAACACAAAATACATGGCCATGGGATAACGGCTCAACCAAGTGCAGGAAGAGCAAAGGGCAGGCTTTCAACGGATGGAGGAGCTCCGGGAAGCCGACAGGCATCGGTATGAAGAGGATAAACATAGGTTCTACGGACCTATGTATCCCTTACATCGCGCATCAAGGATCCTTTCAGACTATGGCAAACCCCCCTCCACCACCCTCGTGGTATGACCCCACTCATTGGGGTAACTTTGGAGGATCTAGCTCCGGGGGTTGAGGGTATGATGGAGGAGATGACGGGGATGGCGGCACCGGTGGCGGATTTGATAACAGCTTTGGAGGCGGTTTCGGAGGTAGCTTCTATGGCGGAGAAAGCAGGCACTAGGGACAGTTCTTAGACCAAGTGTGGGGGAGAGACTCATCATGGTATGTAATTTTAATACCTTTCACTACGCATAAATTTCTTTTACCCTTTTTGCACACAAAAAAAATAAATAAAAGAAAAGAAATGCTAGTTAGGTTGAAAACCCAACAAAATGGGCAATCTAAGCAAAAAAGGCTTATAAAAAAATGAGTTAGTTGGGGAGAATGGAAAATGAAAAGAGATGCTAGGATGAAAACCTGAAAAGGCTCCTAGGCAAAATGAGAGATATGAGAGAAATATTTGTTTTTGCAGGCACTCATTTAATCTCTTTGGAGGAAAAGAAGATTCAAGAAGAAGAAGATAAGCACTAGAAGACCATAAAACCCAAGATGATATTTGTAATTTGAGCTTAAAACTCATATTTTATCCTTGGTGGTCTTTGTGTTTTTATCTTGTTAAAATTGTTGAAACTTTGGAAGACTTAAACACTTGTGAACATTTGACTTTACTCGAGGACGAGTAAAGAAACTAAGTGTGGGGGAGTTGATAATCATGTAATTTCCATGTGTATGTTTGTATTTTTAATTAGTTTTGAGTGATTTTTACTTTGGAAATTTCAAATTGGATCAGATCGGAAGAAAAAGGAACATGCATGGAAGATTTTGACCATGATCGAGTGTCTATACCTGATCGGGTAGACCGACATACCCGATCGGGTATGCCCTTAAGTTTAACCCCAAATCCGGTCGAGTATAGCCCGAATATCACTTTCTACACATACTCGATCGGGTATAAGAGTATACCCGATCAGGTATACCTATAGAATTTAGCCTATAATCGATCGAGTATACCTCGATCTGGCATTTTACACATACCCGATCAGGTACCTTGTATATACCCGATCGGGTACTCGAGCTACATCCCAAGAGCCTATAAATACACCCCCTTTTCTTCACAATTAGATAACCAATTCCTCTACACTTCTAAGCTCAGTCTAGAATAGTTCTTTCTTTATATTTTTCATCATGTTTAGTCTCCAAATGAGGAGCTAAACTCTTCCATCTTGGTTTTGCTACTTTGAAGCTAAATGATTTGTAAGTTGTGAGTTATTTTCTTTAACCTTTTTCCTTGAATATTAATTACTCCCTCCGTCCCCTTTTAAATGTCCCGGAAGAGGGTGGCACGAGTTTTAAGAAAAGTAAGTTTGTGTGGTTGATATTAATAGATAAAGTAAGAATAAAGTAAGAATAAAGTAAGAATGATTTTGAGCCACACAAACTTTACCAAATAAGGTATGGGACAATTAAATAGGGACATCCGAATATGGTAAAATGGGACATTTAAAAGGGGACGGAGGGAGTACTTCCTATTCATATTCCATATTAATATTTTGAGCATTACTTTAAAGATGAACTGGTTTTGCCTAATCTATTAATTATTACTAGAATCAATCGATTAATACGCTTGTTATTAATTCGATTCATTCAACGGTAGTAAACTTGGATTATTAATGCATGCATCTCATGGTTAATACACCAAAGGGAAGTAATTATATTGATTAAACCAATAAACCGCTTGTGTTGAGGTTATCAATCTCAATCGTTTTCATCTTAAGCTTATTGCTACTATCGAATTAATATACGGCGCTTGTTCTATATTGACTCGATAGTAAGTTTTATTAATGAACGCATCTCGTTATTAATAACTACCCTCGATGAACTGGATATACTCCTTGATAGAGTATTCGAGAGGAAGATAGTTAAAGATCTAACCGGGATCGACGAACATTTCATTAAGTGGATAAAAGCAAAGCCAAGTCCTCATCTCTATTAATTAAAACCACATAAGTCGTTCATCTTAGTGTTAATTAAATTAAATCAAATCAAACTCAACCCCCCCCCCCCCTTTCGTTACTGTTATTATAAATGATAAATATTCCTTTCCCTGTGGATACGAACCTTACTTCGTTATACTACGTATATTCGTTGTATTGTATTTATTTTGAGTGCACCTCACGACAAGTGCACGTCACAGCCGATGTGGAAATTCTTTCTACATCGGTCGTTTAGTGCCCGATCTAGAAGATAGTCCGAAACGGCATTTTAATGATATTTCACATTGGTTATAACCCATATATGTAGAAAAGCTATCACATCGGTTATTTTACAACTGATGTAGAAATGCTTCAATTTTTCCCGGAGCATAGGTTTTTTACATCGGTTATAACCCATGTAGAAAAGATTTCACATCGGTCATTTTATAAACCGATGTGAAAAGCTTCATTTTTTTTTGGAACATATGTGTTTCACATCGGTTATAGCCCATGTAGAAAAGCAATCACATCGGTTATTTTATAACTGATGTGAAAAGTTTCGATTTTTCGGTATTTTTCAGGAAAAAAAATTGCAATATGACCCCCGTTTATACTATAATCACATCATTAACAGTATCATCAACTACTATAGCACAATTTTTCACCTGTTCACTTGATCCATCTAAAACAATAACACAAGCTATTTTTCAATTCTTCCACAAATGTTAAACAAGTTCAAGTAACAACTTAGTGCATAACAATCCTTGCACAAGTCTAGGGTAATAACACATTGTATAAAGTTACAAGTCTCATCATCACTCAAAAACTTAAACAAACACGTTCTTCATGTCTCGTTGATGGATTGCGTCATTTCTAAGACATATGATGTCCAACAAGTTCGTACTTCATCAATCTCGCTCTTCTGATGAGAATGGTTCCGGATTGGCGAATCGCTACAAATTAAATAAGAAGGTTATTAAAAACATTACATGGAGCATACCTATTGAATGTAAATAAAATAATAATGTACCTCATCTCACATTTCAAGAATTACCGCCAAAACAATATTCAACATATGCAACATCACATAATAACCACATTCATAACTCCCAACTTGCATTCGAGACTACAAGTTAAAACAATAACATAATTACCAATCAGGAATTACGGTATTCGACTTGGTGCTACACAAATGAAGGTAAAAATAACATACAAAGTAAAGTATACGTAAGTATTTACCATAGGAATAATCCATTTCACTCTTCCCTTTCTTGAGTTGAGCCTACGGCTTGCCTCCATTGCACTATGTAATTTATAATATTAAATAAATATATAATAATAAATTATTTATGTAATTAAGATATACAATATATATTCAAAAATTAAATAAAATGGAAAGTACAAAATGCTTACGCATCAATAATATTATTTGAATTGTCTATTTGGCTTATTCCCCAAAGAACACAAGAAGACAATAGTGTTTTGGACAGGAGAGAGAATAAAGAGCTGCTAATGATTCCTGTATACATAAAAAATAAGATAAAAGACAAACAATAATTTAAAAAAAAATACATAAAAAATATTTTTATCTTCAATTATACCGTTTATATGTAGTATAACATTTCAATTGCGCAATTGAAATGTTATACTACGTATAAACGGTATAATCACCCATTATGATATTCTATTATTTTTATAAAATCTCAAATATAAGCCAAGATATAGACTCAGATTCCCAAAAGCCTCAAATCCTCCACCCAAGCAGACCTTTAGAAAAATCAAGCACCACAGCAAGGACTAGACAGGAACATTTAGAACTAAATTGGCATGAGAATAATAGTTTTTAGCAATGTAGTAGGTAAAAAATATAAGGCTATATGTGTAACAACATCAGAGAATTTTGCAGAGTAGGCCAATTTATAAGTCATAGTTGGTATGTTAATTGTTGACAAACATTGCAATATGCAATGTTAGTACAGTTACAAGCCAACTGACCGTTTGCTCGATCCACCGCTTCTGCTGCACCACCACCATCACTCTCCTGTAAAAAGTGTATGCACATCACACTATTATGGTAAGTTTTTTTCTCAATAGGTGAGGAAACTTATCCCAAACGGTCTATCCAGGTGACTAGGTGAGATTTATGGGCAAAACAAATTCCAATCAGCCTATCCCACACCAGTGGTACCAAATAACTCACCCAAAAGGTCCTCAAATGTTTAAGTTTACTCGCACAAGCGCACTCATATATTAGATACAGATTGGACGTGGGAGTGTGGGACACTTGACATCAATAGTCACGTATAACATCATAGTATCATACTTATTGGCCATTTGTAAACACTTTTCCTCCTTATCAATCACAGTTTTAGCTGCGGCAGCTGAATTGATAAATAGTTGATTTTTATATTATTTTCTTTACTTAAATGTTGGTCCAAAATAGGACGCTCGTAGGCTTTTAGGAAAGCTACGTACGACACTCAAGCAAGAATTAGGAAAGTACGAATATGGAAAGTTAGCCAGAAATAGCATATAGATATTCTCCCCTAATCTGAATTACAACCCACCTTTTATAGGCGTATACAAATCGTAATCGTTACCGATAATAATGACTAATTAATTACAACATTAATACGGAATTAAATACATAATTAATAACGCATTAATTGTTTGACCGTTACTCTTCCGGGCTGGGAGGTCGGCCGGACTGGCAGGCTCCCCGTAGGGCTGGCAGGCAGGCTCCAGGTTGTGGACATGGATCCATGGGTCCAAGTTCGGGGCTTGGGCTGATTAGGCTCTGGGCCTAGTCCCATTACTCCATCACGAGTCCCCCACTCCCTTAGTCGAGTAGTAGACTCGGCTAAGAGGGAGTAGTCCAAGTCAGTTGCTCTTCTCCAAGACTAGAAGATCCCCGCCCTTGTCCATGTTGGGGAGATGCCTCATTAAAAACCTTCATTAGGAAAAAACCCAACGGGAAAAAATCTTAATGAAGGGAAAAAGAGTACATCTGACGCCCCCAAGATGAAGCAAGAGGTGAGATCCTCAACCTTTATTGCAATGGTCGCCATCTGCGAATAGGATGTCCATATCTGTTCTTCTCGTCGGGCCCAGACTCGTCAGGTTCGTCATTTGCTTCCTTGAAGATGGTAAGACCCTCGGTCCCCCACTTCATTTAGTTGTACCTACACATAAAAGAAACTAGTGTAGAATAGAGCATTCGGCCTAGTGTCGAACCACGACTCAATGTGTAAGTGAGTCGGACTCACTACTTGAAAAGAGTGACATCAAGTTCTCAAGTTAGGCCACAACCCAGTCTCCCAAAGAAAGATTGAATCCGCGAGTAAGTGAGGCGGACTCATCACTCGAATGGATAATCAAACCCCAAAGAACTAAAATACATCAACCTTTTCGAGAAATGTGAATGTCAATTAAGTGACAAAATTGCTCGGAAGAGCGTGGCTCTAGGCCCCTAACAAGAGTTTAACTCGCCGCCCGAGGTTAGTAGTTCGAACCCGCAAGTAAAAACTTTTGAATGGGTGACTCGTCCCCCGAGGTCGGAGTGTGATGCACTATGAAGGGGTAAGAGCACGCGAGAACTCATATGTAGTCAAGAGTGTGCGGTATTAACATTTATATTGGAGCTTATTAATCGTCACACCCATATGACGTGACCCGGTGGCGCGAGTGTGTGTGCTCGGCCAGTGTACGAGTGTGTGTGCTCGTCCGGCGTACTTGAGTGATTAGATTTCATAAGTCCGTTGTTCAATGTTAAATTTACACACACTTAACAAGAGTAAAAGCAATCATACCACTAAAAAAATCTTTTCAAATGTTTCAATTTATGATTCTTTTTTAAACAAAAAATTGGAGAGTGCACTTAGCTTTTAGAATGGGCTGAAATGAAGTGTGTTGGTGAATTCATAGCTGCTGAAAACCGTGATTGGGCCAAAGATGGGATGGCCCACTGATTTGTCTAGCTAACAGGAGCTGGACATGGTCCACATGGACTTCGGTTTCTCCCCTCCACGGGAGAAACCAAGAGATAAATCAGGTTGGGTTGGAGTTCGCAAAGCCAGTCAGCCTTCCCCACCGTTAGTCCATGCTCGGCCTCGCCAACAATTGTAGTCTTCTGCCGTTCCGCGCGCTCGGTTTAAGATCGAGGAATCGGTGAAGAGAGAAAGGTTTTCATTCCTCCTGACACTGGGTTATATGAACAATCCGGCGTATGTCTGAAAATCATTTTCTGGGATCTGCGATTCTTAGGAGGACCTATCAAGTTGGAATTTCACTGTTGTTGTAATTCCAGCATTGCTTTTCCAGGGATTTTCGGAATTTGTTAAAATCCCTTAGTGGCTATAATCGAATCATGTTCAGATTGTGAAAGAAGTCCTGACTTGGAGATTTCAGTCAGTTGGATGAAATGATCGTGGCGTCTTCCCCAATCGGGTGAGATTTAGATCAAATCCGTAGCTCTCACTTCGAAATCTTAGTTTCTGTGTTGCTTAGAATTTGGAGAAGATGATCGCTCAATCGCCCTCCTGCCTGACTTGGAATCTTGACCAGATTCATTCATTCTTTTTCCAGATTTTGGACTACTGATACGAAAAACTGCTAGAAAGCTTGGATTTTCGCCTCTTTTTCTGAAATTTCCTACTAGAGTGATGTGAGAGACGATAGAGGCTCTCAATGAAAGCACCAATGTTGGTCCAAAATAGGACGCTCGTAGGCTTTTAGGAAAGCTACGTACGACACTCAAGCAAGAATTAGGAAAGTACGAATATGGAAAGTTAGCCAGAAATAGCATATAGAAATTGCTTCCTTAGTTTGAATTACAAAGTGCCTTTTATAGGCGTATACAATTCGTAACCGCTACCGATAATAATGACTAATTAATTACAACATTAATACAGAATTAAATACATAATTAATAGCACATTAATTGCTTGACCGTTACTTTTCCGGGCTCGGAGGTCGGCTGGACTGGCAGGCTCCCCGCCGGGCTGGCAGGCAGGCTTCAGGTTATGGACTTGGATCCATGGATCCAAGTTCAGGGCTTGGGTTGATTAGGCTCTGGGCCTAGTCCCATTACTCCATCACGAGTCCCCCACTCCCTTAGTCGAGTAGTAGACTCGGCTAAGAGGGAGTAGTCCAAGTCAGTTGCTCTTCTTCGAGACAAGAAAATCTCCGCCCTTATCCATGTTGGGGAGATGCCTCATTAAAAACCTTTATTAGGAAAAAACCCAATGGGAAAAAAATCCTAATGAAGGGGAAAAGAGTACATCTGACGCCCCCAAGATGAAGCAAGAGGTGAGATCCTCAGCCTTTATTGCAATGATCGCCATCTGCGAATAGGATGGCTAGAACTGTTCTTCTCGTCGGACTCAGACTCGTCAGGTTTGTCATTTGCTTCCTTGAAGACGGTAAGACCCTCAGTCCCCCACTTCATTCATTTATACCTACACATAAAAGAAACTAGTGTAGAATAGAGCATCTGGCCTGGTGTCGAACCACAGCTCGGTGTGTAAGTGAGTCAGACTCACTACTTGAAAAGAATGACATCAAGTTCCCAAGTTAGGCCTCAACCCAGTCTCCGAAAGAAAGATTGAATCCGCGAGTAAGTGAGTCGGACTCCTCCCTCGAATGGATAATCCAACCCCAAAGAACTAAAGTATATCAACCTTTTCGAGAAATGTGAATGTCAATTAAGTGACAAAATTGCTCGGAAGAGCGTGGCTCTAGGCCCCTAATAAGAGTTTAACTCGCCGCCCGAGGTTAGTAGTTCGAACCCGCAAGTAAAAACTTTTGAACGGGTGACTCGTCCCCCGAGCTCGGAGTGTGATGCACTTGGAAAGGGTAAGAGCACACAAGAACTCGTATGAAGTCAAGAGTGTGCGGTATTAACATTTATATCGGAGCTTATTAATCGCCACACCCATATGACGTGACCCGGTGGCGCGAGTGTGTGTGCTCGGCCAGTGTACGAGTGTGTGTGCTCGTCCGGTGTACGTGAGTGATCGGATTTCATAAGTCCATTTTTCAATGTTAAAATTACACACGCTCAACAAGAGTTAAAGCAATTACACCACTTAAAATATCTTTTCAAATGATTCAATTTATGTTTTTTTTGTAATATTTTTTTTTGTATCAAAATATAGTGGATTTTTGGATACTTAGCTTTTTTGAATTGGGCTCAACACTGAATGGGTTGTGTGCCTGCGTTGGCTGATAAAGAAATAGCAGTTGGGTAGCTCCACTAACAATTTTGACCTAGCCTTTGGCGGCTCTCACGTTTGGCGAGTGGGCAGTAGCATACAACTACTATAGCTTACCCTTTGGAGCCTCAATCATTAAGGGCGCAACACTGCATCGACTGAGGCCGGAGACAACAAATCTTCATCAGGCAGCACTTGGCCACCAGCTGCTGGGCGAAATCAACGAGGGGCGAGTTCGCTAGGACTCGGGCAACACCGGCGAAGGTTCCTCAGGCGGCGACAGACAGACATGGGAGTTCCATCTCCACAGGGGTGCACTTGTCCACAATATGTCACTCCTGGAGCTCTTAGGATCCATTAATGGCGGATGCTTAAGGTCAATCCTCGTCATGATTCAAGTTCTTACCATCGAGCCACAAAGGAGACCAGGTGCGACGCCAACAGCGGTATGACAAAGATGGCGGAGCGACCTGCAGCGGACGGTGCGAGGCAGTTTCGGCTCAGACCCGAGAATGGGTGGGGAGCTGGCGAGTGGCGGAAACCGGGACGATGAGGACATCTCCGACTTAGCACCGGAAAACCCCAGTTCTAAAATTCCATCTCCGGTGACTGAGACATAGCTGACATCATCGACGGTTTCTGAAATCCCAGTTTTGTTGATTTTGTTTCTTTTGGCAGATAACTTTCGGGACCTCCTGTGTGGACGCCGGTCACTGGCTTAGATCCAGATAGCCATTGCACTACCCGACTATATTTTTTCATTCTATTTCCAGATTTTGGATTACAAACCTGGAAAAAAACTGCTAGAAACCTTCGATTTTCACACATTTTTCTGAAAATTCCTACTAGAGTGATGAGAGAAACAATAGAGGCTCTCAATGAAAGCACCAATGTTGGTCCAAAATAGGACGCTCGTAGGCTTTTAGGAAAGCTATGTACGACACTCAAGCAAGAATTAGGAAAGTACGAATATGGAAAGTTAGCCAGAAATAGCAT